TTTCAAAAATTAAGAACTTTATGTCGTTTGGTCAACAAATTGCAGATTTGATCGGACAGCCAAATTTTCGATGTTACTCGAGAGTGAACGACATCAAAATTAATACTAATTCAAGAGACAATTATAAAAAACTAATCAATTTCTTAACAACCAATAACTACGACTTCCACTGTTACCAATTAAAACAAGAAAAGGCGTATCGAGTGGTCCTGAGAGGACTACATTCAACCACACCCATATCTGCTATCAAATCGGGCCTCGAAGAAATCGGTCATAATGTCAGGCACATAGCACCTGTACTACATCCTAGAGAAAGATATCCGCTACCATTATTTTTTATAGACCTGGAACCAGCAAAAACCAATGTTGAAATATTCCAGGTTCAACGATTGGTTTACTCAATTGTCCGTTTTGAGGAACCGAAACAGAAGCCTCTAATTGTACAGTGCACTAAGTGTCAAAACTTGGGCCATACAAAAGCCTATTGTTATCACGAAGTCAGGTGCGTTAAATGTGCCGGCCTACACGCTTCAGACACTTGCCAGAAGCCAAGAGATGAGCCTGCGATGTGTGCCCTTTGTGGCGAAGCCCATCCTGCGAGCTACAGAGGATGTGAAGTATATAAAAATCTTTACAAACAAAGGTCACGAAACTCAGCGGTGAAAAATCTTGGATCTGCTCAGAAAACTTACACTGAACCACCTGAAATTGAAAATCAGGATATTTTCCCAGCATTGCCGACTTCACCTTCCCTCGTCATCCAACAACAACCATCCATCTCTACAGCTAAGGACTCACCACACCAGAATCTCAGAAATTCTCACTCCCAGTCTTCCACCAGTAAGAAGCAACCTCAACGTCAGGCGCCTCAGGCCTTCCAATCCAAGCCCAAAATCCCTAATACTCAGCCTCAACCTCCTCGCCAGCAAATCCCTCCTCATCATTTACCCTTAAGAGTCAAACTCCCGCCAGAGCATCCACATCCAGCTCCATTCGTTCCTAATCCCAGGATGAACCCCCCTCCACAAGTCCAACAGAATTTAGATCCTCCTCCTCCTCGTACCCCACGACGGGCCCATCCCCCACCCAACATTCCTAGTCGCATAACCTACCCATCACAACCTCCTGATCCAAACCCACTTCCCAGCCAAACACCATTCGACATCAACACTATCTTATCATCATTCCTGATAGATCTTCAACAGACTATCAAACCACTCATAACCCTTCTAACCAGACTCCTTTCTGAAATCCCACTTAGCTTCCCTCGATGAACTCAAAGTCCCTAGCTATTCTCTTATGGAACGCTAATGGACTGCTAAACCACCGTGACGAACTAGACATATTTCTCCATGACAATTATATTGACATTGCCCTCCTAACAGAAACTCACTTCACCCAACGGACACATTTCTACATACGTGACTACATCACCTATAGATCTGACCACCCAGACAACACTGCCCACGCCGGTTCTTGCATCCTTATCCACAAATCTTTACCCCATTCCCTTATTCCTTCTATTCCAACAGATGCCATTCAGTCAACTTCTGTAATCCTCTCAACTCGTCCTTTCCATCTAACACTTTCAGCTGTATACTGTCCTCCTGGTAATTCCCTCTCGTACAGCCTACTTGAATCCTTTTTACAATCCCTCGGATCGCGCTTTATTGCTGGAGGAGACTACAATGCTAAACACCAACGATGGGGTTGTCGATCATCCAACTCCCGTGGTAATACCCTTTCACAAGTTTCTTCTTCCAACAATTATTCCATCCTCTCGCCCATGAATCCTACTTATTTTCCAACATCCCTCAAAAAACGTCCCGATATCCTGGACATATTTATCACCTCCCAGATTTCCTCCTCCCAAACTATAATCAAATCCCTGGATGACCTTTCTTCAGACCATAGTCCAGTTCTGCTTTCACTACATTCTGACTTTGCTCCTAAACCATCACTTCCTAAACTGATCACTGGACGAGTAAACTGGGACAAATTTCGTGATGATTTGGAAAACAAACTAGACCTCAAAATCCCGCTAAAAACAAAAGAAGACATTAACGGTGCCATAGAAAAACTGACATCATCAATAACAGACAGTATAAATAATAACACCTTTATCAATAAGATTAACTTCCCACAAAATACTAACTTGCCACAGCATATTCGCATCTTATTACAGGAAAAACGCAGAGCAAGATCGAAGTGGCATAGGACAAGATACCCAACAGATAAATCGCATTACACACAACTGACTAACAAACTGAAATCAGAAATTAGAAAATACAAAATTCAAAGTTTACTAAATTTTACTGAAAAACTTACAACCACTGACAAATCATTATGGATGACCACCAAAAAACTTCTTAAGTTTCAAGACTTTAATCACCCACTACTTACTGATTCCCAAACCTGGTCCAAATCCGACGAAGAAAAAGCCCAACTATTTGGACAACATCTTTTCCAAACTTTTAATCCACATCCCGATATCCTTAATTCAACTCACATCAATTGTATTGAAGCAGAACTGGATATTCCTCTCCAAATGTCTCTGCCACCCAAAGCATTTCATCCCATAGAAATATCCAACATCATTCAAAAATTACCTTCCCGTAAAGCTCCTGGACATGACCTAATTACATCCCAGATCCTAAAACTTCTTCCTCGAAAAGCCATCCTATTCCTTACTTATATATATAATGCTGTACTCCGTTCTACATATTTTCCTGATCTTTGGAAACGATCTATTGTTAAAATGATCCACAAACCCAAAAAACCACCAGAATACCCATCCTCTTACCGTCCTATCTCTCTTTTACCCATCATGGGCAAAATCCTAGAAAAACTCATCTTAAAACGCCTGTACCCTATCCTAAATTCTAAACACATAATCCCAGATCACCAATTTGGTTTCCGAACTTCCCATTCCACTATACAGCAATGTCATCGTGTGGTAGACGTAGTCTCCTCTGCATTGGAGCGCGGAATGTACTGTACGGGAGTCTTTCTCGACGTTGAACAGGCGTTTGATAGAGTTTGGCACCCGGGACTGCTGTACAAACTCCGAAAATTCCTACCACCTACATACTTCCTCATTATCCGTTCCTACCTTACTGATAGATACTTTAAAGTAAATCACAATAACGCCTATTCATCCCTTTTTTCCCAGTCTGCTGGTGTTCCTCAAGGTAGTATCCTAGGTCCTATCCTCTATACAGTTTATACAGCTGACATCCCTACCTGTCCCAACACTGTCATCACCACATATGCCGATGACACATGTATCCTATCAGTAAACAATGACCCAGCAATTGCATCCCAAATGCTTCAATCACACATCATAAATCTGGAAGAATGGTGTCAAAACTGGAGAATTAAAATAAACTCCAATAAATCCCACCAAATTACCTTTACCCTTCGTCGTAAACCAACGACTTCCTGTCCTACAGTTTCCTTTAACAATACTCCACTTATCCCTGTTGAGCAAATCCGATACCTAGGACTCCACCTGGACAAACGACTAACTTGGAATCCTCATACTAGACTGAAACGACAAGAAACCGCTCGACGTTTCCGATTACTTCAGCACTTACTAGACAAACGCTCTAAACTTCCCATTAATTACAAAAGACTTATATACTTGACTATAATAAGACCTATTTGGACTTACGGAGTTGAGCTATGGGGCTCCACTAAACCATCGAATTCCTCTCGCATCCAATCCTTACAATCCAAAATCCTTCGTAAAATCCTCAATGCTCCTTACTTTGTCACTAATAAAATTATCCATAAAGATCTTAATGTTCCTTATGTTTCAGATCTGGCCCAATCCAGATACCTATCCTTCCATAATAAACTTCAGAATCATCCCAACCCTCTCGTTTCTAACCTTGCTTCCTCTTCAATTCCTGATAACCCTCCGAGGCGTCTGAAAAGAAGATGGCCCCGTGATCTCCTAATATAGTCATATCATTAGAGTGCTACCATTGGGTAGTTACTCAGCAAGTGTATTCATGTCATTATATCAATTATGTCCAAATTTACTTGATGTATTTATGTAATACAGTTGTAAATGTCATAAAGAAATAAAAAAAAAAAAAAAAAACGTTAAGTAATTCATAATTTCTTCATTAAAACTAGATAAAATTCGCTTAAAATTAAAATGGAGTTCATCATTATTAAAACTATTTACAGGTGACTTTTGAGCTGCTGAACTTAGAGAAGTTCTGTTTATATATATATATATATATATAAAAAAAAAAAACATAAATTATCCGCGATTTCTTTTTTATAATCATCCAACTGTACTACAGATACTTCATTTTTACACAAACTTCTTTGTTTAATTACCTCTAATAAATAAGTCCATATTAATTATGGTGAGGTTTGGTAGAGGAAAATTGAAATTCTGCTCAAATTGTGTAAAAAAAATATGTTTGTTTTTTTATGCTTTCGAATAAAAGTATTCCAGTTTTCAGCTAGCATTACTAGAATTAATTATTGCAAAATTTTTATTTCTTTGTTTTTCCATAATCTGGGATGCATCATGACAAATCTAATTGCCTAAACACACATTTGAAAAAAAAAATTAATTTGAAAAATACTGATTTTTCAAATATTTTTTAGTAAAGTGGTTATAAATTGTCCTTTTGGCCCAGATCTCTATTATAGGAATCGATCTATATTTGCAATTGACAAACTAAAAGTTTATATTCCTAAAATTTACCTTTAAAACAAAAATAGCCTGCTGATTTCTTCATTTATTTTAATGAAATTGTTAATATTAGGAATAAAATTTTATATATATACCACTGTGTATATATATTTAAAACTTTTTTTTTTAAATATCGATATCTTTTATGATACCTCTATTTTATGTCATATTTCGTATTCTTCTCCAATTATCTATGAAGCTTATTGCTCAGTACTTCTTTAAAAAATAAAATGAGACGCTTTTACTATTGTCAATGTCTATAATATTATAATATTGTTCTTACCCTGACATTCTGTGGTAGACTTAAGGCATAAATTACTGCGTTCGATATATCTGAACTCTGGAGGTGCGACAATGTATTCAGTGCTTCTTCGCTGGCAGCGCTGTACTCACCAGCTTGATCGAAAAGTTCAGTTGCCACGTACCCAGGGCTTATGCTCTAAATAAATAAATCCATAAATATTGTAAAGCATGTCATGATATCATGTATTAATATTATGTCATTTTTTACCTAATAAAGTATAATATATTAATTGTAAAAATAAAAAGATATAAAATTTATAATGTATCTGAAATATTATAAAATAAAATATATAAACAAATATTTAAGTTAAGTGTAGTGAAATCTATTTATTTTTTCCTTATTTTTGGTTCGAATGAAGACGATTTCTCAAAATTAAATTATAAATGTATTATTCCAACGATAAATTATTTTAAAATTATCATTTTCCTGAATTTACTCTTAAAATGAAATGCATATACAAATAAACTCGTTCAAAATAATGTCAACATTCTCGTTGGCTCTTTGTATAATTGAAGTTCAGAGAATAAAATAAAAACCATTGTTCCAATTTAACTTAAATATTTGTTTTAATATTATTCTTCTCAGTAATTTTCCTGATGAGCGAATATTTCTCATTGTGAAATATGTTTCGTATTGCCGTCTGTTGTATCAACTCAATTTACCTGAACACCATAGCTGAATAAATAAACTCTTCCTCTCTCGTAATTTAATTTTTGTTGTTTTAACCGTCCAATTGTTTTCTTAATTGCTAAATGAAAATTTTTAATTAACTGTCCCACATCCATATTTAATTATTAATTATTTTCTTACCGTAACTTTAGTGTGTGATTGCTCTTTCAGCAATTCCTGCCTCACGCCTTCCGTTATAACTTTGACGGCGTGTTTGGTTGCCGTGTAGACGTAGAATCCTGGGAAATCGATAATCCTGTGTCCGACGATACTGAAAAATAATAAAGAAAGGAATAAAATTTCATCAAATGTGTTACATAAGGTTTATCATTGCTTTACTCCACATGTTTTGCTTTATAATTGATTATCAGTTTTGTTTTTATAAGATTCCTTAGACTTAAGCAATGGATATGTCTTCATGGTCTTCACATAACAACAAAAAGAAAATTTACAAATTGTGTCTCTTGCGTTGTTAATTATCGTCTACTAGTTTAGTTATTCGTTATAAAGAAGTAAATACACTAATTAATGATATAACAAAACATTTAAAAAAATACTCAAGTTGTATCAAATAAATTTTACGTCCTGTGTTTTGATTTTTAAATGGGATTTTAACGAAAATGGATATTGAAAAAATACAACTCATTACTTTATTTAGTTTAATTAAGCTTAAATCGTTAGTTCAGTTTCTAATAAAGCTTTGAACCTAATAAAACGAGTTTTTTTTTTTTACAAAATAAATTAATTGTATATAAAATTAATACATTAGAGTACCTACTAAATAAAATAAAATTAAGAATAGTTAATATTTTTAATTGGTTTTCGACATCACCTCTATCAAAGAATTGTTGGTCTATAATGATTAGTAATTATAGACTACCCAATAAATTCGAAAAATGTGAATTTCAAATAAGGAAATTCACGAGGAGCTTATCAAAGCTTATTAAGATCACAAAATATCATCTGAAACAGCATAAGTTAAAAATTGTTATGAAAATTAGAATTGCTCTCCTAAAGGCTTACGTTTTAATGTATTTTACAAGTAATACAATAAATTTATGAATAAAGTATATTTTGTCAAAAACTAAATCAAGTACATATCGGTACTGTTAGTGGAAAAAGTCGTATATTACAACTTTGTTTGTGTGTGTGAGCGTGTGTTGAAAAATAATTATGCTAGAGAAGATTTTTTTTCTTTAAACGTTTCAACGTCAATTTTGACTTTGCACTAACAGTAGCGATATATTATGTTTCTGAAATTGTGCCATGAATTTAATGGTATCTGTTTATTCCAAATAATCCTGTTGTGTTGGAATCCTAATGCTATTTGTCAATTTGTTTGATTTGAGCATAATCCACACAGGGGCTTTATTCCCTTTGTAAGGTAGCCACGTTCTACATTAACTTGAGTATGTTCATCAGCACTTCTGTTGCTAACCACCTGATGTTTGGAATTCGCAGCTGTGCTAAACCCTAAACCAAATATTGTCGTACAAACAAGAAACCTGTTTGGTTTCCTCTGGAATAACAGAATAGAACATATAGTATGTTTATTATAGATTTTAATTGATTGATTAACTTGAAACAACACCCAACTTACATGTATTATTCTTAAGAATGTCAACAGTAATAAAATATCATACAAAAATATATTTTTAATGGTCTTTGTAAGAAAAATAAAAAAAATATTATAAAAAAGGACACATAGCTTTAATACTTGTCTGTATAATTTGTATGTCTTCTTCGGTACAATTGACCTGAAAAAAAAGTTTTCTGCATCTCTTCACATCCATCTTGAAGCTTATACTTTTAATAATAAAACATATAATAATAACTATACTGGTTCCAGAGGATTTATTTATGTAGGTTTTTTTTTCTGTTGGCATTATAGACCACGTAGATCTTTTGCCGCTTTAACAAGCTCGCTCTGTCTGTCTTGGGCTATTTCCTGTTATCTGCAAGTAGCTCTATTGCATCTTTGTTGAATCTATCCATCCATCTGCTTTTTGGTCTTTTGTCTTCTATTGAGGCCTTCTATTTTTACGTAGAGACTTCCTCATGGACGTACGAGCTACATGTCACACCCATCTTAACCTCCCTGCCTTCATATCATGGGGTATTGATATAGCAGTTTCTGTAAGTAGATCTTTATTGGTCCATATTAAATTAATATATTTTTCTAATATATCTTAATTTTTATGACTTTATTGCATCTGCTCAAAATCATGTTCAAGTATGAGGCGGAAAACAACCCAGCAGCCACGTTCAGCTGAAAATAAAGCCCCATCCCAATTGCTCCAATTGCTCAATGGTGTAAACTCCCTCATGCAGGCCCTTTTTAGTGTCCTCCAACAGCTTGCACAGGTAACTCAAGCCATGTAACCACAAAATGGCCGCTAATCAGCTGATTGCGGGCTCTTTGTCCATACTTCTGTGCAATGCAAATGGACTGACTCAACACAGAACTGAACTGGAACCTCATCTTATTGAAAAACGTATAGATGTAGCCCTGATAACGGAAACTCACCTAACACCACGATAAAAATTCGGTACTTCTGGCTATGTAACACACAGGACAGACCAGTCCAACAACACTGTCCACGGCGGCACTGCTATACTTATAAGATCATCATTATATACTTACCAACTATACCCGGCATTCAGTCCACAGGCATCACACTATACATGAAAAAGAACACATTGACACTAGCTTCCATCTATTGTTCTCCAAGATATATGTTGACATCTTCGATGTTTTGCAACTTCTTCCAAAGCTTAGGTCGATTTTTCATAGCAGGTGGTGACTTCAACGTAATGCACCAACATTGGGGGTCACGAATAAGCACACTAAGAGGAAGAAATTTGAAGGGATGCTACCCACAAACATTCATTAGATAAATCCTGACACACCGACATACTGGCCTGTATCGATACATAAATCCCCGGACCTTTTGTGCTTCTTTATTACAAAAAGACTGCGTACCGTACCTCATTCCATAAGTACGAGCTCTGATCTTTGCTCTGATCACCCTGCAGTACATATTATTGTACTTGATTATGCCGTCAACGTGCAAAGAAGACCATCTCTCATCAATGGACCAATTGACTGGGGTGTTTATAGAGAGTTTTTAAACTCTTCGCTTTTGATCCCAGTGTCCTTAAAAAGTGAAACAGAACTGGAGAAGGCTGTGGAAACATTCACCAAAAATATCCAACAAGCAGCTTGGACTTTATCAATACCGAAATTCAACTCTGCGACAACTGAACAGTTGCCGAAATACCCTCAGTACATAAGGGGCTTAATCAGAGCAAAGAGAAGGGCGCGTAAAATATAGCAGACTGACAGACACCCATCAGATAGACAAACATTTAACCGACTAAACAATCAATTTAAAAAAGAAATCCAAAAATTTAACAGGACTAACTATGATGTATAATCAGTGGTCTTGCACGTACATCAGTATTTGCAAGACCAAGACCAGAACTGGTAAAAAAAAAAATCTATTTTTTAAATAAAAATTAAGGTAAAATAGTGACTAATACTCCACAATTTTAGTTACTATATGTGAAAAATTGGTATAACCAATATACTTTTGCATTTAACTCTTCTAATTTTTTATTCAGACTTAGTTAGGTTTCTTCTATCTAAAAAAAATACAGTAATATCTCTCGAATAATGAGCTAATAGGTAACTGCAAGACTGTTACGAGAGTCTTGCGTCAATTAAGACCTAGACCAAGACTGAGTGTGCAAGTCCAAGACTCGGTCTCGCATTTGGGCAGCACTAGTGGTTTGACGTATGGAGATGAGTAAGGAGTTCCAGAAAGTGGTGTATTGAAGTTAGATAAAATAATGTTTACGTTAGATTTACTCATTCAAGATTAGTTTCAAAGAAAAGTAGTACCATTTTAATCAATTGTGATCGATCCTACTATTGAGAGAGATAGAATAATCTAAACTTCTCATAGAGAACTCTCATAAAAATCTAAGGCGAAATACGTTTTTACCCTCTCTGTAGTGGTTTAATTTTCTAACGTTACTAAAGAAAGAAATAAAAAAATTGCTGATGATATTCTAAGTTTGATCGGTATAATTCGTTTTAAATCAATATATCGATTAGACATTAGCTATTCCATTAGTTGGCGAAGTTTGTTGTAGTGAAGTTGAAGGGAAGTTGTAGTGAAGCCGGTAGTTCATCTTGTTAGGGCTCATTCAACTTCAACCCCTCCCCCACACACTCTTTCTCTCCCTCCCCTCCCTCACCGTATCGCAGCCCAATATATTCACCCCTCTGTCTTCATTGACATGTTTGTGCTCCGCTTCCTGACAGTGAAGAGTCTCTTTTCTTAGGCAATTAGTTCAGCAACGTAAGATTAATTTTCGCCAGGACTGATTGTCAATTATTCGACTGAAAATTGGATTTAATTGTTCTCTGTCAATCAACGTTTTATGTTGTAAATATTAATAATTTTTTTATAATAATAAACCATGTTTTAAACGAAAGTATTTAATAGATATTTAAATAATTATATATATATATATATATAATGTATTTAAATAAACGAAAGAAAATGTAAAACTATAGATATTAATAGATAAATAATAAATAGATATGTATAGTAAAAAATAGATGTTAATAAATAGACAACGTTTGCTGATCTCCAAATTATAAATGCCTCTATTCCGAGAATTTTCGTAAATAAAAAAAATTGTAAGTTACATGAAATGAAGCTATTAACGAATAAGCTATTAAAGTATATGGTGGGTTTGAACGAAACTTGATACCATCAAAATTTTTAAATTCTTACTTGGTGGTCCGTGTTACAGACCACTTTTCAGCAAATTATAAATGTCCTTCCAGAACATCATAAATAGTTTCATCTCATCGTAACCTACAAATATTTTATTTACAAAAATTCTCAGAATTGTGCCGTTTTCAATCGGCAACATCGGCAGATCGGCAAACATTGTCTATTTAGTTAGTTACTAAAAACTCATGAATACCCACTTTGTTTCCACTTGAATCGTTAGACATGATCACAAAATTGAAAACAAAAAGGTAGCCTACAAAAATATTTGGCCGTTTGGAGTGATTTCCACTCCAAAAATGTCTGAATAACGAGGTTATATTGGCCAAACGGTCCAATATATTAGTAGGCCTTGTTGTTGTTTTTTTTTTTTAGATTTTGAGATCAAGTTAATTTACGATTCAAGTGGCTAGAAAATGTATAATTATTAGTTGTTAATATTTCATTTCTGAAATCTGAATTTTTTTTTTCTTGATTTAATCTTGGTGTTTTTCTATCCTGATGATTCCTGAATTGGCGAAATGTTAGGAGGGTTACGATTTTTCAATTTGTATTCTATAGTACTTTACTTTATTTTACATAACGTTCCTTCAAAAAAAGGATACTTTTATATAAATCAATAAAAAAAACTCGAATCAATTTTCTTGCAGAGACCCTACTATAATACCATAACGTTGATGTAAATTGGAACAGTTCCATTACCTACTTTGCTTACTCCATGCTCAATCATTATTCGGTTTCCCGCCAATATTTAAGAGCAGAAAAAAAAGTAAATTAGTTCTGCAATCAAATTAGCTGTAAGTAGTACTTTTTCGTTAAGTTTCGTATGAGTAATTCCTTTCCATGGGACCTTCAAAGGGAGTTACCACCCTTAGAATTAATCAAGGTATTTATCTTGTAGTATAAATAATGAGAGTGGGGATATTTAAAGTTCACTAGTGAAGACGAAGCAACTCTCAAACGTGATATAACTCCAGCAACTTGATACATGAAGTGGTAGCATTTAGAGTCTTCGCCTTTTGAGGAGTAAGACAATAGCCTTAATCTCTTGTTGAGGCTAAGCTCTAAGCCTCAACAAGAGATTGTCTCAAGTCGGCCTCAAACATATGATAATTCTTATACGAACATTACAATTGATGAGCATTGTCAAGTTTAATGGTTATAATTTTATATGCTAAGTATTAATTATAATAAAAATGGTGATATTATTGTTTTTGTCATTTATATTTCATCATAAAATTATGAAACATTTTTTCTTTATGCTGATTGAAAACTATTCATAAAGTTGATTTTACTTAATTTCAAATTCGTGATATGAAAAGAATATTTTTATTTTTTACATCGAATAATTCTATCGATGAAATCCATCGTTTTTTGTCCTAGAATAATAAATAATGATCAGTTACCTGCAAATATTGATGATATGTCCATCGTTGACATTGTGATTTTTCATCGACTTCAGTTGCTCCCTGATGCAGATGCCAACAGCATAGACATTTGTGTCGAACATTTTTTTCCATTCGTCCATTTTCGCGTCTGAAAATTAAAAAATATTGCACCAGTTAGTGCGAAAGGTGTTATATCAAATTTTAGTTATAATAATTGATTATTATAATTAATTATGTCTGATAGATTAAAATTCTTTCTTAAGATAAATTTTAATTATAAGGTGATTATCCGTATACCATTGGTCTGAAGTTTTATTTAATAAGGACTCGAAAGTTCCCGGTTCACAAGAGGGGCCCTTACGGCAACTTTGATCATCAAGTGCAAAAAGTTTTAACTTGATTGAATTATTCCTCGTATCGTTATGCGATTCAATAATCATTATTATGGTATTTTTTGCCACCCACGATCTGACAGAATTTTAAAAGTTTTTAGTTATTTTATAACTTAACACTCTCCGTTTCTATATGTGCATAGTGTTATTTTTTATGACTTATACTTTTATTATTATAAAAATATTTTCCTGAACATATTCATATCTTACCGATGGTGTTTCTCAGGACGGAAACTCCAGCATTGTTGACCAAAACGTGGACAGGTTTCTTCAAGGTCTTCTCGACCCAATCGAATGCATTGACGATGTCTTGTTCATTAGTCAGATCTGCTTTAAGAGGGTAGACTTTTCCAGGCTCACTTTTTACTTCATTCGCCAATTCCTAAATAAATCAACAACAAAATAAAATATTTCAGTAAAGTAAAGTATAAAGATTACAATATGATTACTTACTAACTCCAATTTTTTGTTGCAAAAACCTAAAATACAACTTGATAAATGCAGCTTTGGATAAGTTGCAACTGTAGGATAATAAAGAATCGTAGATTTATGAGAAGTGTATAATTTTTCTTGGTCATGAATCCATTTTTCTTAACCTTTTACTTAATATTTATTTTTAATATTCTTAATTAAATACTTTTTATCTTTTTACAATACACGACGGTTTTGGTCCTGAATAGATGGTATTAGTATGAGCTTAACTGTTTAAAAGCACAGAAACAAAAATAATTGAAAAAATTATAATGAGGTATTTATCTCAAAAAATAATTTTAATTTTCTATTAGTTTTTCTTTTGGTATTAGTACCCCGATATAAAACCAATATAGACCCAATTTTTGTAATATTTTTAGCATGATGAAATCAATTAAATGAAAATAGTTGATCCCTGTGCATGTAGGCATATTTATTTTACATTCGTTAAATGTAGATTAAAGTAAATGTTCTAAAATTTATAAAATTTGAATTAAACATTTTTTTAAAGGTTGCAAATGTTTTTAAACCATAAAAAAATGTCTTAAATTTCAAATAATAAAAATCAGTTGTGCTAAAATGTTTGAAGGATAGTATGCATTTGTAGAACACTAGGTAATATAAAAAAAATATGTTGAAGTGATTTTTGAAAATTCAAATGAAAATTTGAAAAATGTAAATGCAATTAAACATATTTTAAAAATTTTTTTTTTTTTCAGGTAAGGAGGCATACAGTGTCTTTTATAGTCACATACTTGTAAGTACACTACAGATTTTTTTTACGTTGTTTTAATTTTTATGTTGTTCTAATTGTATTTTGATATTATTAATACGTTGGATGAAATATGAGGTCATATGAAATTTATATCAGGATATTATATTAAAGGATTATGGTTGTACGCAATTTAAAAAATCCTATTTCATAATCTGATACACACCATTATCATTTTTTTAAAGGTAGATACAATAATAAAATACATAGACATAACGTTCGTATGATTTTTTTTTTAGGAGAATATTTATTTTAACTGTGAGCAACGGTATAGAATGTCACTGGCATTGTAATTCTTCCCGTTTATTTGAAATTTAAATAATTTTAACAATTTTTTATAAATATTTTTAACTTGATAAAGTTGACATGCTTACACCATTCATGATTTAGGAGAAAATTGTATTCACTATAAGTCTTCGATTATAAACCAAATATTTAAATTATTCCAATGATCGCAGGTAATAATCACTTTTCTTCTTTATCGTTGGAAATAATGCACATTTTTTCATTATGTCTCTAACAACATTTATTCACAAAGTTATAGTAGTGTTTTCAATAGCTTATTATAGGAGTGCTATTAATTTCTTTTATTATTAATTTTTCGCTTTTCATTAAAATATTATAATTTTATTTTTCTGCCTATAACAAATATTTGATGTCTGGCAAAAACAATACTGCATCCTAAGTACTATGTAAATTGATTTAATTACAACTCCAGTTAATTATTTAACACTTCATAAAAATTTGTGTGTTTTATTTATTATGCCAATCTCTTCTATTACTATCCGGAATATTGACATAATCATCATGCTTTAATATTTGGTACATGTTTTATTTCTATGAACTGTAAAAATAAAGGAGCTAACGGACTACAAGTAATCTGGAAGATTAAATTGACTGCTTTATTTTAATTTAAGATTTGATGCACTAAGGAAATTTAGGTGGGTTGCAAATTCATATTTGCTGTATTGCTTGTTTCTGTCTTTCCACCTTCATTGGCTCTTCTCTCTTCCTTTTTACGCCTCTTAGCTGAGCCGCTAGGTTTTAATTGGTTCAGAAGACAAGTCAACCGAGTTTCGCGAGAGCATCGATGCTTCAGTAATGGCAGAATATGTATAATATCTGACCGTTGTCTTCAGTATGTTTAGAGATTGCAGCAATGTTGATTGACTTCAATTTGAGATTGATAAGAAGTGGTAACTTACATTAAATTCCTAATTACCCGTAGATTAATTAAAGATTAAAAATATAATTAATGTTGAAAGTCAATTTTTTCATTTAAAAAAAGTGCGAAAATGCAGAAAAATGTTTTGAGGCCTTAAAACTAGTCAAAATCGTATACAATAGGCTAAGAAAAAAATATATAAATACCGGTACGTCGAGAGCAAATCTAAGCGGTGTTACAGAAACTACTAGTAATATAAAGACCATTTCTAAATGCATATCCCTATTTATTATTATTTTTTTTTTAAGGATGAGGCATCAGTCTAATTTACCATCTAGTTAATATATTCTTATTTGTATATCTATCAGGATCATTTCTTGTAGATTTATTAGAATATAAAATAATAATAATAAAAGCAAGGTTTTATTTATCCGGCAATTGGATTTGACATGGTGTATCCTGCCACCGAGGTTTGACACAAGCTAGAGTGTTAGGCCCGTGGGAAATCACAAGATATAATTCAATACACACCTCCTTATTCCTTTGGGCTGGTCTTGTTACATCTCGAGTTGTCGAGTCACATCTTAATTCTTCCTCACTAATAGACTGGTATGTTATATTCTTTCTGAATTTCAAGATTATTTTTTGAACCTACTTATTATACTTGTAATATTTAATAATATTTTTGATATTGTATGCTATGTTTTTCTAAAAATGTTTGTATATTTCTTCCAATTACATACAACAATTGTTATTTTCCTTTCCCTATGAGTCCTATTATCTTCTTGAAGGTGGTTTCCACAGTTGAGCCTTAAGCAGCCTATTGATATAAATGCAAACCTTGTCTTGATCAGGATCTTAAGACTTTGCAAATCTGTTGATTATCTGATCATCAGCTTCTTAACATTAAAATAGTTTAATCTGCTTTTATATCTGAACTTTTCTTATTATTCCCATGCAATATCCAAACCTAATCCAGCTTCGCTTATCCCTTCAGTCCTGTACGTTGATAAGATGTACATTCCATTTCGCCATACAAGATGACTTATGACTTAAGAACTTATAGCAATACAAGATGGCTTAAGAACTTATGACTTATAGCTTGACCTGAAGCTATAATGACTTATAGCTCTTGCCTTTATTTGCTTCACATTTTTAATCATATTACTGTATTTTATAGATAATAATATAATTTAAAAAATAGATTTTATTTCATTTTAAAAAGAAAAACATCCTTCCAAGAAAAGTTCATTCCAATTAGAAAAGAACAAATTTGTACAAAGTTAAATTCGTTTTAAAAATGAAAAACGTCATCTATCTTTCATCAACGTTCATGAAATTATATCTTAATTCTCAACTAAGCATTAAACAATTTCTTATGAGCTGGAAATTTCCATTAGCTTTCAACTTTGTAAGCGGCTTTACTGAAATTACGGAGAGTTCGGGAGTACAGGATATTGTTTTTCTTAGTTAAATTAAGAGGCCGGAAAGTCAAGTTTGAAACAAAATTTTAATGAAAAAAAATATAAGCCCCCTTTTCAACATAAGTCCTTTCTCCTTAGATTTTAATCATTGCAATTATTGATTAAACCAAACTTCTGATAAAATATAGAAATATTTAATGAAGATAAAATATTGTATTGTATTAGTTGGCCAGTAAAAATAATACTGATCAGTAAAATATTTCAATGTATTATGGAAATACGGAATACTGTACATTAGGATAAAGATTTATTCAGTTTTAATCTATACTAAAAATGGTCTGATTTCATTAATTTTTATTTTTATTTCCCCCGTAATTTTGTTATTTTGCAGGGAATTATAAACATTTCTAATAGCAATGAGTATTGTCGAAAATATTGTGAAGTAATAAGAAACAGTTTTGTTAATAAAATAAAAACTTCAGACAGAAAAAATACCGATGAATCATCTATCATCTGAAACTAATCTATTCGTATAAAATTGAAATCAATCGAACGATAATATGTCTGGTCCTATTTTTTTTTTATTTTTATGAAATTTACAACCGTATTACATGAAAAATACTACAAGTAAATATGACATTGGTAACATGACATGTGCAACATGAAGAGAAACTACCCATTGGTATAACTCAAATTAAAGTTCTATATTAGAAGGTCCGGAGGCCATCTTCTTTTCAGACGCCTCGGAGGGTTATCAGTTATCAAGGAGGAAGCAAGGTTTGAAACGAGAGGATTCGGATGGTTCTGCAGTTTGTTATGGAAGGATAGGTATCTGGATTGGGCCAAATCAGAAACATATGGAACATTAAGGTCTTTATGGATGATTTTATTTGTGACAATGTAGGGAGCGTTGAGGATTTTACGAAAGATTTTGGATTGTAAGGATTGGATAAGAGAGAAATTCGATGGTTTAGTGGATCCCCAAAGCTCAATTCCGTAAGTCCAAATAGGTCTTATTATTGTCATATATATGAGTCGTTTGTAACTGATTGAAAGCTTAGAGCGTTTGTCTAGTAAGTGCTGCAGTAGTCGAAAACGTCGAGCGGTTTCTAGTCGTTTCAGTCTGGTATGGAGAGTTCTATTTTAAGACCGACCATTACTTTCAATTATTTAGAAGTCGGCAGAAAAAGGGCTATAATAATTTCAAAATAGAATTTTGCGAAATGTAATTAAAAAAACGGCAATTCTAAGAGTTAAGTCATCAAGAATTAAAGTGGAATTAAAAATTCCAAAATTAAAGCATTTTATAACTGAATGGTATTGCAAATTTTATGAATCAGTACAAAAAAATCCTTCAATCAATGAGCTAATACCTTCTCGGCCACCTCGAATGTTGTAAAGCAATTTATAAATTATTTTATTTTTTTTTTATTCAGTTCAATAAACGGATTACTCACATCATCTAACAATTGATTTGAAATAATGGATACAGGCAGAAATAATTACGACATTATAGGCGAATTCGTAAATAAATGAGATAAGTTATAAAT